GTGTCTTTAGTAAATAGGTTTATTTGTTATTTCGTATATTTGTAGTGGCTCAGGAATGTATTATATATTTAATGAAATTTATAAGAAAATACAATTGCTACTCAGAATTGTTAACTCATTTTCGTTAAGTGGTAAAATAAAAAAAACTTATTTGCTAATATTATTTTACACCTTGGATTACTTTGTACGATTTGTTCATTTTGAGATCAGTAATTAAATACCTTGCAGTAGTCATAAATTATTATATTTTCTTGCTCATCAGTTTATGTTCAAATAATTAAGTGGAATTAGTTATTTGTGCAACTAGCGAGAAAAGTGAGCAATTGACTCACTCGAGAGAAATCCTTACTCACGAGCCGTAGGCGAGTGAGGAATGGTTTCTCGAGTGAGGCAATTGTACTTTGAACTCGAGTTGCACATTATACTTTTCCTACAGTTACCATAAAACAAATAAATTTGTGAAGAAACATAACCTATTTTTACACAGAAATGAACTTTTAATATAACATTTAATGTGAAGTGACAAATACAACAGTACAACAGCTGACCAGCTGATTTACAGCCAGTGCTGCCAACGTATTTCGCGCGCATACGACGTTGCCTGCATGTTACGCGCTCACTATTTCGTGCCTTTACGTTGCAAATCTGGAGTGAGACAAAGTAATTAGAGTGAGACAATGTTAACATTGTCTCACTGATGAGCGAATTGGCCACTTTGCTTTCTCAAATCAGTGAGAGAACATGTACATTGTTAGGTAACTGTAGGAAAAATACTATTTAACTTTGTACATTTATTATACATTGTTTAATCATACTTTGTGTTTAAAAACTAACGTTCAGAAGCTCAACTTCATAGATATTTTTTGACCATTGAAATACATTGAGCTACGTAACGGAAAAATATAGAGAATATGCCTGGGCATCATTGTCTTTAAATTATTAAAGTTGTGTTAACCATGTTAAAATTGATTAAAAAATTTGGTTAATAACCTTTCAAAATTTTTAAGTGGAATACAATTTAAATATATATTAAAACTAAAACATAATCATGCCCCTTAATTTAAGATTAACAATTCTAGTCATGGACGTCATTTTCAGTACACTATCAAATCAGCACAAAAAGGTCAACGTTGGATACTTGGGATGCTTGAGTATACAACAAAATCACAACTTGTTACTTTATCAAATAAAAACATCCAAGCAACAGTATAGTAACAATGCCATCAGGGATGATAGAGACAAATAATAAACAATAATAATAATAGAAAAAGGAAGAATTCTACTGTACATTTCAACCAAATTTACGAATTCTCTTGTGAAATTATCCTATACAATTTATTATAAATAATCATAAAATATTTTTTTAAATAATGTGTTCGTCTATGAAACATTGTAAACAATATTCCTTTTCCAGACCTAATTGATATATTTTTTAACTTGACGGAGAAGAATCTGCTCACATTTCATACTTCATTGCATCAGATAACACTTACGTATGACAACACTCAACGCAAATAGGTAAATAGGATGTAACAATTGAGCTTGTTGTCAAGGGGGGTTCGCTATCACGGTTAAAGTGATTGTATGGGAAATCTCACTGAAAATACGTATATGTGTAAACAGATATACAGTTTCAGTAAACTACACGTGTACAAAATGTAACTTAAAACGCAATTAATGTTATAAAAAAATTTAGGTAAATATTAAAAGGAAAAACTTATAAATAGAAAGTCCTATTTTATTACCTAATATCATATACCCATATATAAATCCCTAATTACCCATGAACCTTTGAAAAAACTACACGTCATTCCCCTATAAACCATATACTTGAAACTATCCATTATTTCATAAATTGCCCTTTAAGGTCGTAATTCCTTTATAAAGGAAACTTTCCATATACCTAATGTTAAAAATAGCCTCAGCTGTATTTTGTATGCTATTATTTCAATTTATTACCTTATTAAAACCAGGTGTGATTATTTGTTTTTATTAATGTGATCTGTTTTGTTTATTTCAGCAACATTACCAATCAATATTTTTGATAATGCTTATGAAGTCAAACGGGGTGAAGCCCGTGGGTAACAGATTGTTTGATTATAATAGTTTATATCATATATTTATTTTAGGGAATTTCCCATACAGGGAATAACCTATTACCGTAGGTATAAACCATAGGACCCGGGACCGATTTCCTTTTCTTATTCCAATAACAATTAGGTACACACGTTTAAACCGACTCAGATGGGAACTAGTTCAAAAACCAGCACGATCGGGAACGGGGTTTTATTGGTAAAAGGTGGAGTTTCCTATTAATGACTCTCTTAAGGGGATTTTTGTGCAATTCCTATAGAGTGATCCGTTTTGTACTAGTCCTCATGAAACTATCATATTGGTTCAGTGATTGTTGCTATCACATTGTAGTATACGAAATAGCAAGCTTACGACAAGCATTGACCTACTCTCATAGGAGCGCACAACAAAAAAATTACAATTTGGTTATTTTGTATTAAATTTTTAATATTCAGGTGTCAATGCACTTGTATATGAATTGCCAAAAAAATACTCTTTTATTTAATAATATTCACAAATTATAGTCTTCCTTGTTCAAATAATTAAAATGTCAGCCTTTTTGAATGTTTACATGGAATATATTGATATTTCCTCCATGAGTTAGTAACTTTTGCACTGGGTTAGTCATGCAAAATTCTAAGTTCTACGTATGATGTTTATTGTGAAAAAGAAATGTTTAAAAAATACAAAATGGTGGCTAATTGATAACATTTGACTGCAGACGATTTAAATGTGATCTTTAAACGTGTTAGAAGCCAGGAATAATTAATACCTTAAAAGGTTGGTAGAGAGCTACGAAACTCTCTGTTGATGAAATGCTTAACGAGATAGCACGGACACCTGTATAGTATGATTTGTAATTTAGATAATTAACTAAACTAGTTAAAAGATAAAAGTTTTATTTAGAATTTTTTGTTTACCATAATCTTACAAATGCGCAGCGTAGATATCTTTACCATCCAAAACACCAAATGCAAATTTTGTTCCGCACTTATTTTCAGTTTTCAATATAAAAATTAATTGCTCAATGGTATAGTAGAATTGAATATTAAATCAGTGTAATAAAAAAACTATTTTACTACAGTGGGGTGATTTTTTTGTGAACTGCAGTTTTTCTATAAAAACCTTATGTTTTCGTTAAAAGCTGCTTATGAGAATGCGATTATTTCATATTGTACTATTCAGTTGAAAATAAACCATGTTTCAATAGTTTTGACATGTTAAAAATAATAACTAGTCAAATTCTCTTAGAAAGCTTACTCAAACATATGTACAGTATTACATAATCACGTATATTACGTTTTAATATTTTCAGAAGCTATAACTTTTCACGAGCCTTTATGGTAAATTTAACATCTTACACGTAGCATTAAAAAAATAAACCTTAATATTATTGACAGTAATAGTGTAGTTGTGTTTGTAAAACATTTTACCTCAATGACATGTAGATTAAAAAGGTTAAACGCATTAAAATGTGAATGTTTAATATTAGAATGTACAGGCGTTTTTTTTTCTGAAGAAATTATTCAGTACTTTTCAAAAACCAGAATAAAAAATGTTCATTTTTACAAATCGTGAAATCTTTATTGACATGGTTAAAACCTTGATTCTTTAAATTTTACTATAATAATAATTATAACTTCAATAAGTTCCTAGTCTAACAAAAGGTTTAAATTCTAAAGTAACAAGAAGGATTAAACCAACCCCTTTTATCAACGATTGACATAGTCTCTGACTCGGAAGTAAGCAAAAATCATTACGAAACGATTTTGAAGTTCTATCTTTACCCAGTTGATGGTCCAAAAGTATTTGTTCTTACACTATAACTAAAATTAGGTTATATAAACCTTTCAGAATTGTACCCTGGAAAAAATAGTAGAAGAGAGGATGAAAAATGTCCATTCAATGATTTATTTAGCTATGCTGGGGCGCTAAAAGCACATTGTGGGTAGCGCGGTCAAGTGAAAAGTCCTACATCACTTTAACATTCCAAAGAGAGATTATGAACGAAGCAGGCTATCAAATGACATTTTTTAAGCCTCGAATTCATAAATAAACACTTCAAGGTTTTTTTTTTTATTTTGTGCCTAAATATCTTGTGTATGTATTTTATGTTATTAACTACTAAACATGTTTTCCTATGCCAATAGTCGATAATAAAGGATTATTTAATCGTACAAGATTATTTAATCTTAAAATATTATGAGAGTATTGAAAAAGCGTTAAGGACATCATATTACGACGTTATATTACGTAACTCTTAATATTAATATTTTTCAGACCTTTGTTACTTATGTAATTACCTAGAATGTAAAATAAAATACATTACTTTATTGATTTGATTTTTAGAGCAAGGAAATTAAATTTATTTACATTTGTTATTGTATTCTTAATTTGAGAGAGTCAATTTAAATAGTTTAGTAATGATATTGAGCTATAGTGCACTATTCAAGGAACATTGTCATTTTTTATTGGATCTAAGCTTAATCAAGGCCTTAAGATTTCCAAGAAATGTTTAATTATGTAAACGGAATCCCAATATTTTTACACTTTCGGTTGGTTATATTTGGTAAGGTAAGCAAATATTAAACATGAAAAAATATTTTCAACAGTCAAGTTATATATTTAAATTGTTAAATAAATAAAAGTAAAGATGTGTTCAATACGCATTTACAGATTAGTGGTATTTAAAAAAATATATTATGATAACAATATTTAATTACTATAAACGCTATGTTTGACATGCCAAACATAGCTGTAGGAAATTAATTCATGACAGTATCTTTGTCGCGAATCCTTAAGGTCCCATTGAAAACAAAGCAAACATATATCAATGTTTTTCTCTTAAAAGTGTCACCTATTTTTGTCTATCATTCTTACACATCATATACATATTGGGTTATTATTTTTATACTCTTAATACTCACAATGAGCTATACAAGTATACAATCCTTGAGAGCGCTACATTAGGTATTCCGCACGACCCCACAAACTCCCACCACGAAAGCACAACACAGACTGATCGTTTGATCCTCTCCCCCCAACTGGCAGCCCTGTCTGTCTACGCGCATTCGCAACATTGTTACCAACTCAAATTTCCACAGAATAAAATTCCCATGGGAAACCCTTTCCTTTAAAAAGTTTCAAGTATACTTAAACGCTTAAATTATTTTGTTGTAACTTAATGTAGATGAGTTGTTGGCCCATACTACGTACTGGAATCGAATAGTCAATTCAAACTCCTCAGAACAGCTAGCTTACACGCCAAAAGGCAAATTTTGGCAGTTTTAATAAGGAAAATCTTCTTGTAAAAAAATGTCACCTGACCACATATTTCTTTAATCCGATTATAGCCCCAAACGATGCACTTTTAATCCTAAAGTTTTACAATAAAATATCAACTGCGTTGATTTGGAAATCCTCGAAGTAAGATTGGCGGCCGATTCAAACATACTGGTTTTGAGTACAGTAGCTACATAACACCTTTCTTTGCATACTATCACTACCGTACCTAATTTTCTCTCCGTGACCACTGAAACCTCAAGGGGACTCTGGCCTCCTATTATCTTCTATCCCTGCCTCGTCACTATTGGTCTTTTCACATAATTCTTGGTCTTCCGAAGCTACCTTGTGATACTCATTGAAATATACTTTTGAAAGTTGGTGTAACTTCTCTGCAACAAGTAAAGCCTGCCCATCCGAGCCTTTTTCCTTTGGAAAGCATCCCTATATCTGGGTGTGTAGACATTTTTCTTAGCTCTCTGTTCTTGCGTATAAAAAATTGAAGATTTTATAAATACATAAAAAAGTACACATTTTTTAAATTGTATTTAGAGTTTAAAGTTTTCCATTGAACTACACCATGTTCGTAAAGATTAAATAAATATACTGAAATATCACGATTTTTAGTTGTAAAATGAGAAAGAACTAGTGCAATATGTTCATTTACCCTTATTCTACTTAATTTTACTCATATAAATCATAATAACTCAGTAATTCTTTATTTGGTCTTTTTGGACTTGGTGTCATTGTAAGGAGACTTTTAAATGCTGAATAAAAGTGTTTTAGACATTCTTCTTGAGAAATGATAGTTATCATCAGTTGATAACTTAAAATACAAACATTTTAATTTGCCATTCTTTTGACATTTTGAATTGAATAAACTAACTTTCGTCCCAACAAAGTTATTTCCTACCTTAACGTGTATACCGAGTTTCTTTGAGATTGGTTTGAACAATCCAAGGAAAATAATATTTATGAAACATTTACGAAAAAGTGGATATCTTAAAGAAGTGATTTGGAAAAAATATTTTTCTTGGTTTTATTGTTTTACCAGTAGTACTATTGCCTCGAGTTTGTCCGTTTAGTTATGACACAAACAGATACTACTACTATGAGACAAAATGATACTAATTATATTATGTAAAATACCAAAATTAATATGTAACATATTTCTAATAACATTTAAACAATTTTGCTGTAAACAGCAAAATAAACAAATATTATGTCGTATTCAAGACTCAAAGAAACTTTTTATCAGTAGAACAAAAAGTCCCATTTCAGGGAAACCTTCCCCACCCCTGCATCACTGGCGCTTCCTCCCTTCCCTCCATTACTCACAGATTTCCACCTGGGGTAGTTTTTTCGCGGTTGCACAACCCGGGTTTATGAAGCTTACATGTGTTTTGCGCCCTTTCCTACTTCCTGGGCTTAGCCGTTCTTTGGCAGCGAAATGTTTGCCCTTTTATCCCTCTGTTGTTTTTGTCCCTTGTCCCTTGAATCGGGCTTAGATTGTTTGATTTATAACTCAACCATGAGATAAGGTGTTTTGCTGGAAAGGTGTAAACTGTTGGTCATGTTATCTCTAGGTTTATAAGTTTATATATCGTTGTATTGTTAAAAAATATTTTAACTATATAGTTTAAATAAAAAATAATGTTTTATAATTAAAAAAATATACAGTATATATTTTATACTAAATATTCAATTGTTTTACAATAAATATAAAAAATTAATGCAAAATATTTAAAAAAAGATTTAAATATTTTATAATAAATATTAAAAAAATATTTTTATGTTTAATGCTAAATATAAAAAAAAATATTTTAATGTGTTATAAAAAATTAACAAATTACGTTTTAGCCTGGATTAAAACATTTAATTCAAAAAGTATTTTAAGTAATGGAAAAGTTGGGCTTATCCTTTTAATGTTCAAGTTCGTCTTGCTACTTCAGTAGTTATGTGGTGGTACCCTCCTGAATTTTCAATTAAATATTTAATTAAATGGTTATTCTCTTTTGTGTGCTAAGAACACTCTCTCCCGATTAAAATGTGTGTTTATATAACATTTTGAAGATTATCCAAGTAAATAATAACCAACAAATAAAAAAGGTGTAAGAATTATTACGAATTGTTAGCTGGAATTATAACAAAAAAGATCGTTGTAAAAAAAGCTTTGTATTACTCCGATTTTGTTTTTAAGCCCAACTAGGCCTCAGGCAAATTCAGTATAAACCATAGCTCTTACGTTATCAAATAGGCCAAAGGGACAATAACCGTTTGCGCTCATATCCACTCATACATAGACCTATAGTTGGAGTTTTGTGTACTCATTAATACACACACAGGACAACAATTGTAGCTGTGTCCTATTTCAACAACATTTTCAAATACTCGTGTTTCGATTGAAACATAAATGCCATATATGCAATATTATTATGTAACATATACAAAATTATCTATAAAACAGCTGTACAAGTATTTTCATTTGTGCCGAGAATTTATCTGTAAGGATTTCCCCCTCAATTTATTATTTTTTTATTGCGTTAACTTTAATTTAATTTGTTTAGTTTGAGTCTGATGCCATGCAATGACTAAAATTATTTATTGCAATTAAATTATTAATAAAGTTAAATTAGTACAGATTTCAAAACTTAGATCCTTAGAAAATTCAGTAAATCGACCTATTTCGTTGAACGTTTGCATATTTGAGGACATTGGAACAGTATAATTATACTTAATTTATTATAAAGCACGTAAACGTCATAGATTGAATTATAAGTGTAATATTGTGCTGCTTATAATGTTGACAAAAGTGTACTTAACTGCAACAATCACGTAGACAGGACATTAAAATAACTGTTATTGATATGAGAAACCATTTATGTAAAATATCACGTTTACGTGATGCACCGATAATAGTTCACAATAACGTTATATGACTGTTAAACAATGATCATTCAGTTTTAAAGGTTCCATATTCTACAAAAATATTCAATGTTCTGATATTTATATGTGATTTAACAGGCAATATCAACCGTTTCTCTGAAATTATTATATTTACAGTTAGTGTTACGATTATGCAATTGTTGTGTTGACTGAACAAACCTCTATTAATAGTAGAAAAATGTGTAATTCTGATTGGAAAATATTATCTAGTTGTTTGCGAAGTAGTTAATAGTAAAACATTACAGTTAACATTCAAACTTAATAGACCAAAACTGTTGTACTGCTATTAAGGGTTTCCAATAATAAAAAGAGTATAATAACAAAAGAATGTGTATTTGTAGCCATAAGAAAGAATGAGAATTTACTTTCTTCCCTATAGGCTACATTAAGGAAAAGATCCTAATTACGGTAACTATAAAAATAACTGTTAATGTATTATTTGAAATTCCCACATAGGGAATAATAATCTATTACGGGAGGTCTTATGGTAAGACTTACCTACTTAATTTATCGTTTTAAGTTTCCCAGAGACCAGAAACTCCAATTGCACAAATTCATAAATATATATATTAAATTAAAAAGAAAGAAAAAGGGTACTTATATTTACTAATATTATATTTATATAGGCGTCCGTTAGCACGATAACTGGAGTAAAAATGGTCTGATTTTAATTATTATTTTTAAAAACGAGGAGAAAATGCGGACGTATAACTGAACAAAATGTTTGCGAATCTACCATTAGTATTGAATTCTCATTTCAATATCAATTTTAATTTATACTTCAGAATCTGCATTTGACAGTACAATTCGTCCTCCACCTTACTGTCTTCCCATTTCGTAGAATTATTCGAAATCCCTCTATTTATGAGAGATTATTTTATGCAAATATGTTAATGATAAGATGTAACTGTTTAATTGTATCTGATAACAGATTTTATAGAACAATTTTGCATTTTAGTAAACATATCAATGGTTTATTTAAGAGCATACTTAAATCCCGTTGTGCAACTATTATCACCATATAAATAAGCTAATAGCTATTACATTTATTCACTTAATTTCATTAAATCTACCACCCTTCTTTAGAGTATAATAAACCCAAGTGATGGATAAATTATCCTTAATTAGGGTGGGAAAATACATAATGGGTAATTGATAGATCATAATACATTATCTAGTTCTAACATATATACACATAATTATTCATTACACCATCCAGCAAAATTGTATCTAGCAAAATTGATTTTGGAGGTTTAAGACTTATTGTTCCTACGAATTACCTCTATTAAATATTATACCTAAAAAGAATATTGTGAAATGAGCCTCATCTAGAATTTGTAAACATTAATTTTCAATTCTAGTTGTTTATACCTTGATTGTTAGGTCAAACATTAATTATGTTAACGTTTTGAGTTAGTACTAAATCTTCTTTCGATGGTTAAAAGTAAACGTTTAACGAAACATACCCTACACCGGCGACTCATTCAAATTAGGTTTTTTACTATCAAAATAGCTACCGTAGAATTTAATATTGAGAGTTTAATCTCTATCAGTACTATATGAATGATCAAAGGTTAGTATTGATCTATCTATATATGTACTAATATAGTATAATGCATGCTTTGTAGTGGGCTGTGCGATAGTTGGCCATGTAGGTCATGTGGTAAGCCAATGTAGCCCTCAGGCTAATCTATTGTCATTGACATTTAGGACTGATATGGCATACTTCACTGAACAGTATATGGATTGGTTATGCGGAATGCCAAACTGGTTATTGGTTGATTAGTA